GTACGGGATACGTGATACAAGCTATCTATGCTTAATAACACGTTATCTACATTAATGATAACTTTAATGACAAGTTATAAGAAAAATAATCCAAATATTGATTGATTTTTTTTAAAAAATAACTTTAAATAAAGTTTTAAAATAACGTTAAAATAACTTTAGGGTATTGAAATTAGCTTAGTGAATAGAATAACGTTAGAATAATAAAAGTTAGAACGTTTATTCTAAAAATATTCACTCGAGATGCATGATTTAAAATAGTTACTTTTTTAAACTTAAAATATTGCATTAACAACATTTTTTGTAAATTCGTTGCGTTATAAGTAAGCAAAATCTTTTCAAATTTAAACGGCTACGAATTGAACCAAATAAAAAAGAACTGTCTCAAATATTATTTATAGTGTTTAATTATATATGTTCTAAAAAAGTGAGGACTTCAAGTAGTTTATTCCAGATCTTATTCTAGAAAGAATATCTCACGCTATTAAACATCACGTTGGGCAGGTGTTCATTTGCAGCTCGATCTCTGTCTTGAATAAAAATGACCTCTAGTTGCTATTTTGTCGTCAGTCTAATTTTGGGCACTTTTCCAAATAGTCGTTTGCATTGTGAAACATCACAGTTTATGCAAAATAAGTCAGCTCTCGATCACGCCTTTTGCTAAGTTCAAAATTAGTAAATTAACCGGGTTTTTGTAACCTTGCTCCGTATTTTAATACCAAATATGAATGATAAAAGTGAAAGTGATTAATCAATTTCCCGTTAGAGAAATGATGCAAAGAGATTTATTTACATTTCAAATGTTTTTATTTTAATGCTTGCCTTTATGCTTTAATTAGTGTGTATTTCGCTCTATTTATAATTTTTAAATGACTGATTTTTCGTAAAATTAACCGAATTAAAATTAAGATGAACTTGTACACTGTATTCTTGGCACTTTATTTAATTTTAAGGAACAAATGAATGACAAAATGCTTACGATTTAGAGAACAAAAAAAATTATGATTTTTTTAATCTTAAATTTCAAAATCACCATCCACTAATGCTGAAGTACAATGAACAAGCAGCAAGCCCATTTCAGGGTACTACCGCTTAACGATGACGCTAAGATTGCCACATTATTTTGACCCCGGTCAGACGGTCATCTGCGAATTTCCGCACCACAACCAAAACAAGTAACTTTGCAAACATAAGTCTAAACATGGGTTACTCAAATTCCTGCGAACTAAATTTCATGGACTTTGTTTTCCAAGTTTTATCTGAAAAGAAAGTAATAATTTTTCTTTGAAAATAACATTATCAGATGGAATATTCGAATTTGTTTGTTACTTGATTAACTCAAATTTAAGAGAAGATAGTATTTTGTCATTTGCAAACGAAAATGTTCTATTTTGATTATTGTTTGAACTGTTTTTTCCGTTATTAAGATATCTAAGCTGTGCTGAAACACATTGTTTTATATTTCTCCGAAATTAATGATTTATACTTATTTCGTTTACCACATGACATTCTTTTTGAAAAAATAAAGACAAATAAGATGCCCGATAAGGATAGCAGTTAATGCACTTTGTTTTCCCAAATATATTTCAAAATATTAAACATCAAAAGTTAAATTATAAAGAAATATGCATATTATATACTGGAAACTTTTTGAAATACTTTAACATAAGACTCTAATTTTAAGGAGAAAAAAGGATAATACAAATCAAAAAGAGGGTAATACAAATATTTTGCTTGTTCAGACGTATTAGATATATTAGTGTAGAAATCAGTTATTATACTGATTTGCATATTACATTACTGCATATTACAGACATATTAGATATATTATCGTTAAAGTGTAGAAATTAGTTATTATACAGATCTGCACATTACATTATTGCACATTACAAACATATTAGATATATAACCGTTAAAGTGTATTAATCAGTTATTATACAGATTTGCATATTACAGACATATTAGATATATTACCGTTAAAGTGTAGAAATTAGTTATTATACAGATCTGCACATTACATTATTGCATATTACAAACATGTTAGATATATAACCGTTAAAGTGTATTAATCAGTTATTATACAGATTTGCATATTGCAGACATATTAGATATATTACAGTTAAAGTGTAGAAATTAGCTATTATACAGATTTGCATATTGCAGACATATTAGATATATTACCGTTAAAGTGTAGAAATTAGTTATTATACAGATTTGCTATCTAATAGGCAGATTAATTAGAGTGATCCGTTAAAGCATCAAAAATGCGTTTCACTTCAAAAATTACGTCGGTAATCTGCACATCACCTACAGCATTGTAAAAAATTCCGGATAAAATTCCGGTAAAATGTACTGGCACTCTGAATCCAGCTTCCGTAAAATATATTTTACCGCAAAATTCATTTTTAATATAAAATTTTAGTTCGTAATTTTTACAGTAATATTTATTTAATTACAGTAATTCAGTGATTTTACAGTAAATTGTTCTGTAAAAATGATGGCAAGTCATATTTTTTGTTACGGGGAATATGGATTTCACGGTAAAAAGTACTGGCACCCTGAGTGCCGGAAACTGTCTACCACAATTTGATCTGGAATTTTTTACGGTGTGTTTTCTCGTTAAAGTGAAAATAAGATATTTGGAACAAGAGCAATGTTTCTGTAAATTTAAATTAGCAGAATATTATACATGATATTTTTCGCAATATAAAAATTCCAATTATGTATTATAAGCAATTATCAATCACTTAAAAGATATAATTCGAATGATTAAACTGTTTTAAAGATTACAATTAAAGAAATTAACATAATAACATTGATTTATATTTAAATATAAAAAAAGAATCAAGTCAATAAAATCAAATAATCAGCAAATTAGTTGATAGAATAAGAGAAACGAACTTTTGGCCTTAAACAATGCGGAGACCGTTAAAAAGCATATAACCTAAGTAAATTGAGAACTCTTGTTTCCGCACTTTAATAGATCACTCAAGTTGAGCTGCCAATTATCTAAATAATGTGCATATTAACAGCTTTCCAGCTTTACGGAAAACATATCTATTTGCTTATTACGCATTTAAAATTTTTTGAAATACTTTATAAAAGTTAAGTACCGTAACTTTGGGTGCATCATCTATAAAATTCATTTTTTACGTAAAGTACTACACCGTATTTTTTACGGAATTATTTATTTAATTAGAGTGATTTAGTGATTTTACAGTAATTATAACCGTTAAAATTTTTTGTTTGTAACATATTCCAGTAAAAATGGATTTTATGGAAAAAAAATACCGGCATCCTGTGTGTCGCTACTTTTTACAACAATCTGATCCGGAATTTTTCACAATATAGTAATTGAATAAGCAAAATTCCAACTAAGCACATCTGAGTAAGTAAATCAGAAATAAGCAAAAACAAAATTCATAACGCCATTATAATGTTACGCCATACGAAAAAGAAAATTTAGAAGAATATATTTAATGAAATGTTTTTGTTAGTTTGTTAGTTGATAATTAAAGTATAAGTCGTAGTTAATTTTTTTACTTATCTGTCAAATTGTTTTTAACTAAATTATGAGATAATAAATATAATTGCATCAATTTATTGTCATTCATAGATAAATTTTTATTATTAACAACTTATCGACAGGAATTTAAAATATTCTGATTAAACAGTGTTTTGTACATTATAAAATCTACTTTCATGATATAATAATGATAAATAAGATAAGGTACCATAATTTCATCAACAATTACACAATTAAAAATAAAAATAAATACGAATCGCAGCACCATTTTCTTGCAATATTAGCAACATTCAATACTGAATTTTTCTTAAATTCTTCTTAAATGCAAAAAAGGGAAATTAAAATAATTTTTTCAAGATCAGTAAGTACTAGTTACTTAATTTGAATGTAATAGTGATGTATTAAGTATGTAATAGTGATGTATTAGATGAAACATTGAAGTATTAAGGGTTGTTGAAGGAATTTGATATGTTAAAAGTAAAAATTATATCAGTTTAAATACGAATTGAATCAGTTTAGTATAAATGTTTTCGCCTATAAAAATTAAGCAGAATAAAAAGAGAAGACCAATGTTTCTGCAAAATGATTTTTAAAATGAATTTTGTGTGACCTCCAGTTATATATAAAGTTTTAAAACTTGTACATCTCGACAAAAAATAGACTAAAAATGTCATTAAAAATATATGTATATGTAATACGAAAATAATAAATACTTTTGTACTAATAAAAGAATTAAAACTCTTTCGGTTTCATAAAATGTCTTTGTTAAAGAGTAAGAGTAGAGATATTCTATTTTGGGAATTCAAGGCTGAAAACATACCATTGAATAATAATTAGATTTATATTTGAAAGGAGGAGTTATTTTTAGAATCTTGTCCCTCTTTCACTTCCATATTATGAAGCATTAAATGATTTTCCATAGTGCGTAGAGTTACAAAGACATGTACGACTGGAACCTAATTACACCAATCTCTGTACTATTTAATGCAAGACCGAAGGTTTTCGCATGTCTCTTGCTGAATAATATGTTCCAATAAATATCTGCCGGAACCATCCGAAGTTTCTTCCACACCCCCTCCTTTGCAGGAGTGGGGATGTGAACTGTTATAACCACCAGCCTAACTTTTAATAAACCTTTTGATAACTTATTATAGCTGTTGACTGCATTTTTTAAGATGAATACACCAATGATAACAGGGATGTAGCCCTGTTTTTATATATATATTGGAGCTTGGAGACGGAAACTGATTGCAGTTTGAAATCGGCGATATGAAAGTATCTAAGATCTGTTTAAAAAATATTATGAGACGGAAAAAAATTGTTCCCTAGTATAATACATTTCATAATGGAAAAATTCTTGTAAAACTTTTTTTTAAATTTATTCACCTTTATTCAATTAAATTAGCTTTCAAATCGCTGCTTAAAGCATTTGATTTTTCGAATTAACATCTTATTTTATTTTTTCTCTCAACAGGAGGAAAATCGTTAATTTCCTTGATTAAACCAACCGGTAACGTGTCAAAGTTCAACCGGTAACAACCTTCAAAGTGTTCTTTGATCCGAAAGATCAGCGATTTTCGAGGTTGGGAAACAAAAAACAAACAAACTTCCTTAATATCCTCTCTTCACTTCCTTTGAATTTGTAAACTGGTCGTCTGAGGTAAAGGAACATCATCATGTTGGTTTCAAACAGCGGCGAGCAGTCGTTCAAGAATCGTTGCTTCGGCAAGAAGCGAAAGTTCAAGTTCTTGTCGAAGATGACCCACTCAAGTATGGCGTCCCCCTATGAGAGAATGGACGATGACGTCAGGGAGGTCAAGAAGATGAAAAAGAAGAAGGTTAAGAAGCTAGATGAGGAATGTAAAGATAAAGAGAATGTTGAGATAAAGGATAAGAAATCGAAGAGAAAAGTAAGTAGTGTTTTTACTTATTTTTACAATTGATTTCGTTAAAATGTATTATATAAATATGGCTTTTGGATTTACTCCTCTTTTGATTTTAATTAATCTAATGATTCTATAATCAAATAAACTTTAACCTAACATTTCTATAAAAAAAATAATGAAATTATCCTTTAATTTTAAAAGCAACTCATAAACAATTTCAGTACACTAAGTACATACACTGAAAAAAAAAAAATTTGAGCAAAACAACCAGAATATGGTAAAATTCACCGTGTTCTGGCACTATGGGACTACCAAAAAGCTAGGTAATTCTGAAGCGCTTTGGTAATTAATGATTTTGGTTAAATTAATAATAAAATATGGCTTTATGATATGTGTTACAATTTTGTAAATAAAATAAAATGTGGTTGTTTTATCATGATACCTTGCATGGCATGAAAGCCATTTATTTGATTGAGTTTACTTTTAAGTTTTGTATTTTTTCCCAAATGTGTGGTAATAAGAATTATAGCTTTGAAAACCAGGATTTCTAGTAAACCGTTACCATATCAACGGAAACATTACCAAATGAATGGTTTAAATACCGCATATTTTGGTATTGTTATCGAGAATTAACGATTTTTCTAATTAAACTAACTAAACTAACAAGAACTACTATTGATAAAGGGGTCTCAGCCTCGAAGACATATTTTTAGATACCTGATAAGAGAAGTTCCTAAACACTTCCATTAGGGCTTGTAGCTTTCATTATAATAGAGAATTCTGGAAAAATCAAGCAGATTTCAATGTTTACATTTTTGGCAAGTTTGAGAAAATGCGCGAAATTTTGGTTGTAGTATAGTATTATATCCAATCAAATGTAAGGATTAAACTTTTTAACTTTTACAAACTCTATAAATATAAATTCGATAATAGGTTAAGATCTATAGAAATGGTAAGGAAACATTAATAAAATACAAAGGAAGCAAGTGTTTGTTAAAATTCTTAAAAATCTAAACACTGTTAAAATTTTCAGTCAAAAATTATGGTAAAGTAACCATCAGAAGCCTGTCCATTCGATTAACCGTAAAGTTAACAGTAAACAAAATTTTTTTACCTTTACTGTTTCGAAACAGTTTAAAGCTAATATGGTAATAAAATCACGAATGCAGAGCAGTATGGTTTTTAACCATTTACAACTAGCATGGTTTCTAAACCATAAAAAAGTAATTTAACTGGACAATGGAGATCTTTTTGTTTGGTAATGGGCATTAGGAAAAGCAGGACACTGGGTGTGTTGAAGGGAATAGAGGAAATATTGTGGCGTTAATGATGGGACACGAACCCTAGTTCTGTTGATCATGGGATTGATAGATTAGTCCTCTCAGCTATTATGTGTACTGCACGGAACTAAATTGCTTCATTAGTTGGTGAGCTAAAATTCTGGTTATTAGACCGTATTAGATGAAAGCAGTAAATAAGCAGTTTTCCTCACTCTTAACGGTTTGATTACCATCTTATTTATGGCTAATTAACTGTTTCGTTTGAATATGGTGAAATTAGAATGAGATAAATTGTTATTTAATCATTTTTTCAAGAAATTTCCAACAGACACAAATAATTCAGGCGAAAATAATTCAGTAGAAATATCAGTAGAACAAATAATTCAGTAGAAAAAAATTTTTCTTCTAATAACGTAACATCTTCTAAGGCTCATTTATTTTTGCAACATCACTTTCTTAACATTAAGTTTAATGGTTCTTCAACTATTAATTTGTTTGACTTCCTCGTTTTTAGACGATATTATCTTCGTATCTAGCTGTAGTGAAAGGAGCAAGTTCAAAATAGGTCAGCGGTTCATGTTATGTCTAGGAGTTTTACCGACTAAATTTAAATAATTACTCATATATATTCACTTTCTAAAATTGTAATATTGCAAGAAAGAGCTCATTCCTCAAAGCTGTGATGTTTTCAAAATTTTTAGCTGCGCAACTAATGTTGTATGGATTTTGGAAATATTATTTTTAAATGTGGATCTTAATCGAGAAATTCAAGCTAAAATTTATTTAACACCAAAAAAAAAATTGTTGCTGCATGTGAGCAAAAAAAAAGAAGAAAAAAAATTAGTATCGTATTTTAAATTTAATAATTTAATAACGGTTGTATTTTCAAGTATTATTTATTAAATTTAAAGTTAATTTTCTAATGTGTTTACTTTAAAAAATCGTTTAACTCTTGGGTGATGCTCATAATTTTGAGGTTTAGTTACAATTTAATATTGTATACTTAGTATTGTAACAACATTGCCCTTAATTTTGAATTTAGCTCAGAGGATTTTCGAATTTAAATAAATTTATTTTTTATTATTTTCCCGAACTCCTCGTGTCAGTAAATAAAATTGCCAATAGGAAAAATATGACTATGCCATTTTGGACAATATAACTTAACATGCACTGTAAAAAGTTCCGGATCAAATTAAGGTATAAATTATGATATGGTTCATTACTTCTAATTTGAAACTTCAAATACTTATAATTAAAAACTCATTATATTATACTTGTTAATATATCTCATTTACAAAAGATCAATACCAATATAAAGTAATAATTCATTTTTACAAACTGTAACTTTTAATTTAATTTGGAATTTTTAGATTAATTATTTTCAATTAGACATTTAATCAAAAATAACAATATAATTAACTACTCATTCTATAGTTTTTTTCAAACGCCATTTCTAAAATATCAAAACAAATACAAAATCATATTTCTGTTTTAGCATTTTACCATTGTATGATATTTTTACGATTGATTATATTTTATTATTCACAGCTAAAAAAAAAATCATCATATTCTTCAAACGCGTCAGTTATTCCAAACATTATTTCGTTTATAAACAATAGAACAATATGAGAAACATTTCATTTTAAAGCACGAATAATTAGTTTTTCAACCCCCTATAATTTATTAATATTATTTTAGAATCTGGTGTAATCCTTTTGCAAAAGTTTAAATTCATGATTGTTGATTCATGATTCGTGTTTTTAACTTAATATACTGACTGGCTAAATCAGAATTTTAATTTAGCAATACATCATTAGAAATATTATTTCGCGATCTGTTCTTATACTAATTAAACTAACAGACATAATTTTTACATATTTCCGTCATCCAAATAAATATTCATCTACAATCGCTGTTGTGCTGTACTTGATAATTATCATTATAGACAATAGTCCCGATATTATCGTATTCGATATTTATCATTGTCTGTAATTAGTGCCATATTATCATATTCGATAAGCAACGTTATCTACATATATGGCAGTACTTTTACTTTCGTTACTTGTACCGCCGGTACAAGTGAAAAGTACGTACTTTTACTTGTACTTCGTTACTTTTTAAATTTAGTACTTTTACTTGTACTTTCGTTACTTTTTTAGGGAAAAAGTACAAGTATTTGTAACGGAAAT